CCCTGCCACGATGAGAAGTTGCATAAGGTTTCTTTTTCTTGTTAATTCATACTTTTATTGTAGAGTGATTATTATAAGCAGGTCAATTAGTAAACACATTCCTTTAAGGATTTTTTTTCCTCATTTAGGAAGAGTATTCTTCTAAAACTAAAGAGTATAACAGTATTAGTGTAAGTAGTATATCAGGCCAAATCACTGATTATGTATTAAGCAGGATCAGTCCTGAAAACTACTGTTTTACTTCTCCAGGCTCATGAATGTGCTGGTTACTTCCTCTCTTTGCTGTTGAAAAGAGTTTATAACTTTCTACTTGTGGTCTTATTCTTTCCTGTTTGGTGATTACTTCATGAAACAGAATTACATATAAACTGAACGGCTATTATGTGTGTGCAGAAACATTTGCTTGCACAGTTTTTTTATGAGTTGTATTCTTGCATAAAATAGCAGCTCTTTCCTCCAGGATTTAATCTGCCAACCTTTCTTGCATCACTAGTCAGGTTTTGAACACTGATTCCTCAAAAACCCCAGCAGGGTTATGGGAAACCAGAATGGATGCATGTTCTATAAGAACCTGAGTGTTTACAGCTAATCTGTAGACCGAACCACTGAGTTAAGATGTTTTCATGTGTCATGCATTTGTATTTGTCAGTCATTAAGCAGGAGTTACCCAAGAACAAAATTCCAGTATTGTAAAGGCAGTGGACTTTCTCACAGTGTCATAGTTGGACTAACACTTTGAAAACTGCTTAGGATCCTCTGCTTTCAATTCTGTCCCAGAATGTTGGGTTTACTTACCCTCTTTTTATGGTCAAAAGCAGTCATATACTTCCAAAATGAAGAAGGTGACCACAAATTGTATTTCAATGAAATCTTAAAGCCCCAGTATAGTATTTCACTAAGTTTTTCAGAGGGTACTTTTTGTTTGGTACTTTCTTAAATGCAGAGTATTAAAGAGCAAACAGTGCATCCCTTTCAGACCTTCCAATTTTAAGATAACCTTGAAAATTTCCCTAAAACTTTTCACTTTCAGATTAATTCTGCAAATTGATTATTAACTATGTATTTTCATTTTGAGTTTTTAAAATACCATACATTAAATGTTCAAAATAGCAATTATTACAGAGAAAAATGCACGTGCAAACATTGTATCTTAATTAAAACAATCTTTTTCTTTTACAATGTTGTTCAAATGTTTTGGGAGGTTAAACGACCTTTTATTAAAAAAAAAAACAAGAAAAATTGTACTGTCTTTTTCAGCTGCATTGGTTTTGCTTGTAGTAAAAGATAATTGTCTTACTGCTAGCACTCCAGTCTCAAGTTAGGGGTAAGTTTTGCTTCTAGATTGTCATCAAAATGATTTTTTTTTTTTTAATGGGATGCTTAGTGGTCTGTTTAGCTGACTTTGATGTTCTTCTGCTGGGAATGGCAATGGTAAATCTGTTGGATGAAGGCATTTTAAACTGCATCTCCTTTGCTTACCTGGAATTTTTCTCTTCAGCTACATAGCAAACAAATAAATGAAATGATGAGTTAAAATGCATCTTGTATTCTTCAGCTATACAAGGAGAGAGGTGGAGCCTTTACACTGCCACCGAGCCACACAATCCTTTGTGCCGTGGCTCAGCTCGCTTTAGAACCACACCCTACAAAGATACTGGAACTTACCCTTCTACTGACAATAGTAGAATATATTTTTCTTGCTTATTCAAGAAGGGACTGCACTTCTCCCGCTCCCAGTTACAATGGTAATTACAGTTAGTTAGAAGCATAGATAATCCTGTAAATATCACAGTCTGAAATCAATTGCCAAATTGTTAGACTTATTTCCTAATTATAAGATTCTAAATAAAGAAAAATTTAGTCTTATTTGGCCTTTAAGGCAAGAAAATACATTTGCAAAAGATTACATTTTGCAAAAAAACCTCAAAAAATTATATTTTAAGTGAAAAAATATTTTTGTATGTTTTAATTTTTAAAAGAAGCTGTATGAAGTAAATGATGTGTAATAGCCTCACTTTACTGAAGGAGGAACTGAAATAATTAGCAATTTACTCAGAGTAACAGATGAACATCAGAGTAGAGTTCTAGAGCTGGACGCTTACTTTTCTGAACCAGGGTGACATTCCAAAATATTTCCCCTTAGTCTGTCATGTTAGAGTGTTCCTTAGATCCTTTCTTGCAATGCAGCCTTTATGAAATAGTAGGAATAGCACAATTTATGATTTGCAACTCAAAGCAAACATTTCCAGGTTTGGGGGTTACGTGCACGGCTTCAGGTAAGACAGAAGAGAGAGCTTGACATGAGACCTTGGCGTGGTGATTTTAGAAATGGTGGAAAAGGTTCCTTCCTTCTTCTGAGGTAGGAATAAAACTGTTGGGATAACTACAAAATCAAATGGGAAGCTGCTATTCTAGAAGGGCTCAGTGCTTCTCTAACCAAGGAAAGTTATGAAACCCAGAGAGAATATTTTTGGTCAGGCTTAACTGTTTGTCAGACAGAATTTTTGGGGGGAACAATTTTCCAGAAGGTATTAAATCAGTTGCCTTAATTTTTTCTTGTAACAGTGTTTGGTTAAACTCTGTTTTTACTCTGTAGGCACAGAGTTGTTCTCCATCTTTATAAGGAGGGGAAAAAAAAAAGTGCCCGCCCCCCCAGTTGGGCCAGACAAAATCATAATACAACTTACAACTTCTTGAAAAATGGGTAAACTTCTATTGTGTGAGCTCTGGATTCAGCTTTAAAACATCATGTTCTATGCTGCTATCAACAACAGCATAATTTTTCTGGACAGCAGTAGCTTGTTGGCTGGTACATGATTATTTCCATTAAGTAGCCTTCAGTGGCAGCCTAAGAACATAAGTCTTTTAAACGATTACTGAATTTGCCCTTTAGCCTATTTAAGTTTTGGGTTTTTAAATTTGTCATTGCTTTTTGCCTTTGATCTGAAAATTAAAATACATATTCTTCCTTTTTTTTATTTTATTTTTTTAGCGCTTTTTTTTTTTTTAGTTTTTAAATCCCTTTCCCCCTCTGCTGCTTGATCCCGTAAGTCCCTACTGTGAAGAGCTCCTATAGTTTATTTGAATATATGTCTTTGGGTGCTTTGCAGAATAGACCTTGATGTTGCTTGGTTCCTTCAAACTGCTTGTAACGATGCAGTATTAACGATGAGGTTACAGCAGCTTGTTAGGGAAGAAGTTAGTGGTGCAGTCTTGTTGCTTGGAGTTTTAAGCAATTGTGTGGTTGAGAGAAAGATGGAATTAATCTCGTCCTACAAATGAAGGATATTGGATTGATCTGTTCCCAAAAGGACCTACAAATCTAAGATTCATGAAGCAAGGCTTCTTTCCGTTACTATTAAAGGATCTTACATGATTTAAACATTACTTTTTCAACTAAAATTTCTTTTCATTAGGGTTTCAAAGACTCAGTGAACGTAAGACAGCAGCAAAGAATAATGTGGTATTGGCACTGTATTTCATGAATGAAAATGTACTTAACTCAGAAAGAATTATCAAAGTTGTGCATCTTATGTCCGCGTCTTTATTAGTTGCTTGATTTATGGTATTGCTTTTAAAACAGTTGTATCAATATTAACTTTGGAAAATTAACTGAGTGAAGTGTATTTATAGTTCATTTTGCTTTTATGTGCAAAATACTGATTTTTATAACTGGTTCCTCATTCAGTGTTGCAGAAATTCACCTTCAGCCATTATGATGAGTGTCCCCGTTTTCCATAACGGTTTTAATTATTTTGTTAATTTTTTTTTAATCTTTTAGATGGCATAATTTCTTGCCTCCACAGTAGAATACATTAGAAAGTTGCATCATTGTACTCTTTAGATATGATCAATGATGCTTTAAAAAAAGTCAAAGTGAACATCCTGGCATCATTAGGGACCCTGGAAAAAGTTGCACATCTCTTCATAGCGCTGTTGCTAGGTTTTTGGGGACATTTCTAAGCCATTTTCCAGTATTCACTGAATGTTAGTTAACTCACTGTCCTGTCTATTTACATAACAAGTGTGCCAGCTGCATACTGGTTCTGAGGCTGAAATCCTAGGACTGATGGAAAGTCCCTGGGAATTAAAGAACCATCAAAATTCCATCGCATGCAGGGCCTTCATGGAGGAGGGTTACAGCTTCCTCCTCTTACGTCGGTATCCCGGTCTGTATGATGTTTGGAAAGCGTTTCAGCGTTCCTAGTGGCTGGGGTTCCCGTGTACAGGAGCGGAGGCATTACTTCTATTCTCAGGGCTTGCGTGGGGGTTGATGGTTCACAGTCAAAGGCCGTGAAGGTTGCTAACGGAGGCAGGCATGTAGGTATTCTGATGGGGTTGGAGAGAATCTTTGAAATTGTATAATCATATAACATTCACAGATAAATATGTGCCACTCACATGTCATTTAGTTAAAAACCCAGGTCCTGAATTCTCTAGATTCTGTGTTTGAGTTTCGTAGTGTCCGAAGAAATAAAAATACTGTTAAGTACTGCAGTCTGTTAAATGGGGATGGAGGAGTTTTTCCTTGTGTATCAGTGTCTTGTTTTGCTTGTGCTAGGGGTTAAGACTTTTAGCCTAATTTCTGCATAAAAAGACCTACTGGGATATGGATTGTAATAGTATGTTTGAAAATACCACCTCCCCCTCCAACAGCTATAGAGTTTACCACTAACCTTTTCTTTTCTCTTTTCAGATCTCTTTGGATCCCTGTCTAATAGATCCATGTTTCTGAACTCTTCCTTGTAACCTTCACAAGCAGCCAAAATGAAGTTGAAGCATAACATCAACCCTGTTCTTCTACAGTTTATAAACTTTATAATCTTGGTGTACTCCTTTGTGACGTACATTCCGTGGTACATATTTTCAGGATCAAGGCAGGCTATAGCAAAAGCCAAGCAGGTTAAAGCTAGACCTGTGAATAACAAGCCTGGGGGTGCATACAGATCTGTTAACAGTATACATTGCTTAGCTTCAGTTTTATATCCTGGGTGTGATACACTCGACAAAGTTTTTAAATATGCTAAAACTAAATATAAGGACAAAAAACTCTTGGGAACACGTGAAATCCTAAAAGAGGAAGATGAAATCCAGCCATCAGGAAAAGTTTTTAAAAAGGTAAGTCTTTTGCAGTCTGCCTTCCATGAATTTTTTCAAAGTGTGTTTAGTTTCTTTTGCAATGCTTCTAGTCCAGTAAAGCAAATTGGGAGGGGGGGGGAAGTTTCTCTACTTAGATTAAGTAGTTGTGAAAAGAGTTAAATTATCCAATTCCCAATCTTTCATTACTCAGCCTTTAAAACAAATCTAAACCTTTTTGCATTCTTGAGTAGATGTCCTTTTTTTATGGTTTCAGCCAAAGAAAAAAACAAATGTGTGTTAGGTATTTGTTTTTAATATTCAGCGGATGATGTACCTTGCTTTAAAGTTTTCATTTTAGGTGAATTAAAAAGAAGCCTCCCTTTGTCTTATTATGAACTATAATCAGATAAATATAGAAAAATTACTAGATGCCTATACTCAGATGTGCCCTTCTGGTAAACTTAATTGTAACTTAAGCATTTACTGTTTTGCTCTGTGAATTAAGGGCTTAAATGAAATTTTTGTTTGGAAAAGGATTGTACAGACTTTGATAGAAAAAAAAAAATAAATAAAAGACACTTCCTACTAATCTCCTTTAAGGTGAGCTACTTCTCTGCTAGTCTGTAATAGTGATGTGTGTGTGAGATGCAATTTCAATATAAAACTTGTTTCGAGGGAGTGACTTTTTATAGTCTTTTAAGTTCAGGCCTGTATTTTCAGTTGCTGCTTTATATTTGTTCAGAGGCATTTAAAAATGCAGTTTTGACTGAAGAAGCAAGTCAAGATACCATTAACAGGATTCGCGGATATGTGTTAAAAGTCTGCACTTCTGTATTGGAAGTTGTTAACTACATGCTATAAAGACACTTTTTAGTTAAGATTAGTTTTCTTCCAGAAGAAAAATTTATCTCTTCATGTACTAAAGGATTCTTTAAATGCTGTTCGTTTTAATTCTGATATAGGAGTATGATGTTTGAAGTAGAATTTGGTTAATATCACAACACATGGCAAAGTTTAGTTCTGTTAAAATCTTTATAGAAGCTTTAATTGTTAGTGAAATTTCCTGCCAGCTATGGAGTTAATTTTTCAGTGTGAAGGAAGTGCTGGGAGAAACGAGTACATAAAATCTCTCTTTGGTGCATGTTTTGCTGCCTCATTGCCCTATAAAGAAACAGAAAGTTCATGTTGTACAAAGTGGGCTTCTGAGCACAAATCAGAATTTTGGCTGCCCATGATCTGTGCTTTTGGTTTTTAAACATAATTAGTAATGTAAGACTTAAGAACTTAGGAGTTTTAGCCTTTTCCATTATGCAAGCAAAGTGTTCTGATTATTGGAAAGCTGAAAAATGTTAGTGTTGACCTACTTAAATTACTTATTTCTAAGTATTTAGACTTTGAAATTACTTAAGTTAGATAATTTTGTCTAAGCTTGACACAACAGTTCATTATGGTCGATTGCCATACTTGGCCTTGTCTTACTTTGTTCCAAGTTGTGGCATTATCACGTAATTCTACTTTTCAGGGTTCTTTCCCATTAGGGAATACAGTGTTTCTTAATACCATATTGCATGCTTTAGCAAGCGAGGAAAATTTCGGAAAATACTTTGTTGATTCTAAATGTCAGGGTTCTTTTCCTTTGATTTTTTTTTTGTCTTTCATACCATGCATCTTTTTATTGCCCAGTTCACTTTACTAAAGGCAGGTTGTTGAGGTTTATTTGGTGCAACTTTTTGAAAAGGTGCATGACAATTTTAATTCGTAGATAAAATACATATAATTTCTGTACCTTACAGGAGTTGCAAAACCTGTCAATTATTTTTTCCCTTTCAGAAATTGAACACAGTGGTAGGAATGATTGATGCATTTTTCTGAGGTCATCTGCAAGTCAGGGGCAGATCTGAATGTAGCTCGTGGGTATGTGTGCTGAGTTGCATTACCTTTTAGAAGATGTCTCACTGTGTAAATTGCAGTGGGATAGATTAGCCTGTTTACTGGTTCATTCATGGCCTCAAGTTGCGCCAGGGGAGTTTTAGACTAGATATTAGGAAAAATATCTTCACCAAAAGAGTGGCCAAGCATTGGAACAGGCTGCCCAGGGAGGTGGTGGAGTCACCATCACTGGAAATGTTAAAAAAAAATGTGGACGTGGCACTTCAGGACATGGTTTAGGGGGCATGGTGGTGTTGGGTTGATGGTTGGACTTGATGATCTTAAAGGTCTTTTCCAACCTTAATGATTCTGTGATTAATGGGGTAAATAAATATCTCAAAAGCATAACATACTAAGCTTCTGATTCTTAGGAGAACTAAGTGTTGAAATTATTTAAAGCTATTTAACATTTAAAAATATTTAACATCATTAAGATCATATAATACATTAATTTATTCTGACAACAATAGTATTCCAGATAATCTGTAACTTCTTGAATTGTTATATCATATTGTTCAAAAGATCTACTTGTTCCTGTGTAGTTGCCAAAGTAGCAGAAATTAATAGATGTTAGTAAAATACAAATACTTGTTGCTTCTTACTTTGTTGCATTTTATAATATTTCATATGTAGTTTGTTTTTCTGTTTCCTTCCGTAGTGTCCTTTAATACACGGACAGCATACCTAATATTAATTTAATAAAATATGTATTTAAGTCAGCATGAAATAATGTTGAAAATAGTTCCGAGATTAAGATGTAATTAATTGGAAAAATTAATTAATTTAAGCAGAGCTTAAATCCTGTGATGCCCAAAAGATGAGCTTTATTCTGCTGGTTGATTATTTTGTCATCTTAGTTATAGGTTATATTGTCATCTGCTTGCTTTTATGTATGTTGGTATATGGATTTTGCTTTGTGTGTGTGTGTTCTTTTGGTTGTTTTGGGGGGGTTGGTTGTTTTGGAGGTTGTTGGAAACTATTACTGTTCACAGTAAGTTGCGGGAAGGTTCTTGGCATGCCAAGTCATTGAGTAGTACAAGAGTAGCTTATGATGTTGAAAAGCATAGGGTGCTATCTAAATAATATTTTAGGGTGGGGTTTTCAGAAGTGTTCAGCTGCAATCCATGTTTTCGTGTGAAAAAGGCCAAAAATGGATATTTCAAATAACCTCCTTTGTATTATTTTTAATATACTTTCTACAAGGAAACATATGTAATTCGTGATCACAGGTTTCCAAATTGTAGTCAAGGTTCTTCAGACCTTATAAACTACTTTTAGGAAGACCTTGAAAGGTAACAGGCCAGGTAGTTTAATGACTCCACGTGTGCCTGCAGCTTTTTTGCGAACATTTTATGACACCTTCACACTAAAAAAATTAAATACGGTTGCCCTAAAATCCAGATTAAAGAAATGCTCACTGTGGAGCTAGTATTTAGTCTCTGTACTTAGCTGGATTTCCAAATACTAATACAGTACTGGTATTTAATAATATTTTCCAACGCATTAAATAGATAACTCAAGTATTTTTAGTAACTTGCAGGTGAAGTGTGGTTAAAAGCTGCTGCACTAGAGGGCAGCATTTTTCTATTTAATGTAGTATTTCGAAGCAAAGTTCAGAGGTGCTGTCTTCTGAGTTAGTGTTTGGTTTCATGTGTCTGTTTAATCAATTCTCAACGGTCTTGACTTCTTGGGCCCTCCTCTTGCAAAGTTACTTTCTTTAGACGTATAAGTAGTTCTCTAGCAGAAATAAGTTCTGGAAGTTGTAGAATTAAATGTTTGTGAACATTTAAAACATTATGGCACTTAACATCAGTCTTAGCAGCTGTTTACGGTAGAAACTGTGCATTGGAAAATATTAGCGAAAGCTGCTTGGGGAAGGGCCGAGAAGGGAGGTGGATTTGGAGACATACTCGAACATAAGGAGTGTGTTTGCTCTGTGCCCTGCAAAAGGAGCACATGGAGAAATGCAGAAGGAAGGGACATACAGACAGAGGCCGTGTATTAATATGTCATAGAGAGGGAACAGAGAAGAAATGCTGGGCATGGGGAGGAAGGGAGCATGGGAATTTAAATAGATGGAAGGCAGTAGGAAAAGTAAAACTCAAGAAGGCTTCATTGAAAAAGGTCTTCTCATCTGTTTTCACATGTCGGTGTTCTTCAGAAATATAACTGTTCCTATATATGGAAAAGTAACTATAACAGTGCTGAACTTCCTTTCTGTGGATTTTTAACCTTTTAAAAAAGGAGAACATCAATGAGGCATCCTTTCGCTACTTTATATCACACTTGTTTAAACAGTGAGGATAAATTATTTAGGAGAATAAAAAAGGAAAAAATCAGAATCAGAAGTGTTACTTGGAAAAAAATCTGTTTTTGACCCTTTAATGATGTATTATTTCAATGGTGAGAAGTACCAAAACCTGTTCATTTACAGGTTGGCGAACTTAACAGAAACAGTAACAAGAATCTGCATGTATTTCTTGGCCTAATTACTTGAGAGCAGCATCCCTGAGGCCATGCTGTCGGTATAACGGTGGAAAGGGTCTCCCCGGTTCATTCCTGTGAATTATTTCAACCGATGAGCTGGCAGGAATTTCCATGTCTGCCAGAAAGACTGCATGTGGGGGAACAATCTCCCAAACTGGAATTAAAATGCCAAATTACTGAAATTTGGATGGACAGGAAGAGGTGCAATATTTTCTTCGGAAGCCGTGAAAGTTTTCCACACCAGAAATATCTTGGTGCGTCGAAACCGAAAGGAGCTGTCAGGTCCTTCGCTCCGGGGGGCTGTAGCTGCAAGCGCAGGGAGCGGGTGAGCTCTCTGCCCCGCGGCGCTGCCGATGTGCTCAGGCATCAGTTCTGCTGTCGTCCTCTCGCCCGTCACAGCAGAGAAGTTCAGTGTCATCTTTCTCCTCCTGTAAGGTTTTTGGCTCTGACACTGTGTATTTGCCAGTGAAGCTGAGTTTCTGTAAACAAACCAGGAAAAACTGAGCAGATGCTTGTGTGAGAAATGCTTATTTTCTGCTGAAATTGCTAAGTATTGTTATTGTAGGCAAGTATTGTTTTCTGTGTTTGATAAATCATATTTACCCATGAAGACATTTGTGAAATTGCCAAGCAGCTGTGTATATACCTGTCCCAAGTTAAAAGGTTTTGTCCTGCGAAACAAGTAGGTTAATGAGCAATGTACAGTAGCAGGTACAACTCAGTTACCCAATAGTAACCTTCTGCAGTTTGAAAAAGCGTTTTGATAAATCTATTAGATTTTATTTTCTATTAGAGTTTGAGAGATATTTTAAAATTAATTTTATTAAGGAGGTGGATGTGGGAATACAGACTCATTAGAAATGTTACATGACAAGAAGTTGTTAGATTTTACAGCCCACAAGTTGGAAATTTATTTAAAGTTGATAAATGAAATCTGGAAAACAGAATTGGAGGGAGGAGGGAGAAGTTTGCTCTTCTAGCTTTTTATTTTGTCATTTGCTTGCATTTATTACTAATCATAGCATTATTGAAGGATATTTTTCAGTGCAAAGCATCTTCTTAGTACTCTATCTGTATATGAAAATTTCTAGAATGTCATCAAAGAGATTACCTCAGTGAGAAAATAGCACTGTAAGGTGCAAGTGTGTGCATAGAAATCTATGATAGATAGTGAGCTCTAAATTCAAGTCCAATTTTACTGTGCACCAGCTTTCCCATATTCTATTTTCTTCTCGTTTTCTTCTAGAAAAACGAGATTGCTTAACTTTTTCCACATGACTTTTCAGTACTGAGATTTGCTGGTAATTTCCAGTCCAATCTTCTGTCCCACTTCTGTTTAGCAGTAAAAAAGGGCAAAAAGATTACTCTTCTTCTCCCTGACATTTGTTTTGGAACAGGGGAAGAGAAGGGGATTTCACAATTTCTGAGGGCCCATTGATATACTGCTTTCTGGAGTCCAGTGCCCTCTTGCCCTGCACCCCCCCCCTTTTTTTTTTTTTTTTTTGTAAGAACTAACGCCTAAGTATCGTATTTGTATAGGAGAATCCTAGCCCAAATATCCAAGAAAGCAAATATAGAGTATGTATTGTACTAGCTAATGCTTGTCACCCTTTATTTAAAATAAAACAAACCTTTGTAAAAGTCTGAAGGCATATGGGTCAGATAACCACGGCCTTTTGGAGGGCTTCTGAAGCTACAAAATACGGTGGGAATCATGTGCTTTCCTAATGTGAAAACAGAAACTGAGGTGATACCATGTGTGGAGGTGTTGCAGCATTTGTGTTGGAACTTCCACAGTCATTGTAGTTTTTGGCAAGAATATAATTAGTTATCTTGCATAAACTGCTTTTAGAATTTAAGCAACTTTTACTTCAAATATATGTGGTTTCTTCACGTGGATAAAGATGTAGTAGGACATGTGTTAAGGATTTTCGTTTTCTAAATTGAATTTATTATTCTTATTAGGTCATCCTTGGCAAGTACACCTGGCTTTCATATGAAGATGTATACATTAAAGCTGTTAATTTTGGAAACGGCTTAGCAGTGTTGGGTCAGCAACCAAAGACTAACATTGCTATCTTTTGTGAGACTAGAGCTGAGTGGATGATTGCAGCACAGGCCTGCTTTATGTGCAACTACCAGCGTAAGTATGCGTCTTTCCTAAAATATTTATGTCTCTTGATCTTACAACACAATTTGAAACCAAACCTTTCCCTTCACTTTACACACTAAGAAAACTTCATACAAAGTTTATGCAGAGTGTTTTAAAACTGCAAATAAAAAGTACTGCATAAGGTAGAGACTGCACTTTGTAGTATTTTGCCTTACTGGATGGAGAAATGTGTATCTGTTTGCAGCTGGAGTACGTTTTCAGTAAGTAGGTCTTGCTCAATGAATTTGTGAGGGGGTTATTTTCTTCTAATCTCAAATCAGTACGATTCCCAAGTTTCTAAAAACAAACAAACAAAAGTCACGCATGAATTTGCTGATTCAGTTTCAGGAGTTCACTTCCAACCTTCCTCTGTGCCTGTAAGCTTTGTTTTAAGTAGATATTTTGTCAACTCTTCAATTGTGATTTTGGTTAGAATTTATCATGTTATCTCTAAAAAGTGAAAAGGAATGAATAAGTCCTGAACTTATTTTGGGCAGCTCTTTGGAATTAAAAAGTTGCTTAGTAACTTAACTCCTTTACCAAACTGTAAGTTAACTTAAACCTTAGGCTTAGCCTGATAGATTTTTCATTGTTATACTTTTCTTTCTTCTCTCTGCCTCTTGACTTTCTCATAGTCCATTGCATGTCATATAATACATAGTATTAAGTCATGTACAGAGCCACAACTGTGTCCAAGGTACATCTCTGCCGCGGTGGAAAGCCTGCTGTATACCCTAACCTAGTCTGAGCCTAGGCACAAGGATATACATGGGAGCTCTAGGCCCATTTTTCTTCCAGAGACCTGTATTGAGTGCTGATGTCAACTTGGTATAGGAGTTGCTTTCAAATGTCTGTTTCATCATTACTCCTTAGTATGTCATTCATCTAACTGTAAACCCAGCCTGACTAGGTTCATAAAATCATAGAATCTTTGGGTTGAAAGGGACCTTTAAAGGTCATCTAGTCCAATGAGCAGGAACATACTCAACTCGATCAGGTTGCTCAGAGCCTCGTCCAACCTGACCTGCAATGTTTCCAGGCGTGGGGAGTCTGCTACCTCTCTGGGCAACTGTTCCAGTGTTTTACCACCCTCACTGTAGAAATTTCTTCCTTATATCTCGTCTAAATCTACACACTTTGAGTTTAAAACCATTACCTATCACAACAGGCCCTGCTAAAAAGTCTGTCCCCATCTTTCTTCTAACCCCCTTTAAGTACTGAAAGGCTGTGATGTTCTCAGAGGGACATTTCTTATTTTCCCACAAGTCACTCTAGCAGCTGCTGTTCCTTACAGGCTTTGGCCTCTTCTCTCCTCTGCCACGTTTACCCTCCTTCAATAAGAGATGGGCTGTAAAAGCCAGATGTGCAGAAATTCCTGGTTTACTACCTACCTACATGAAAGATGTATATCAGTTAGACTATTTTCAGATTCTGGAAGCAAGCCTAACAAGAAAATTGTATCTTAAATGGTCCCTCTCTACTCTAAGCATGAGGCTGTTTCAGTTTGAGAAGCCATGCGTTCAGGAGTATATAACAGTTTTCATTTAAATAAGTCTTTACTGTGGGTCTCTGGTTATTTTGTGTCTACACCTATGCTGTAGTATTCTCAGTTTTAAGGGTGGAGTTGGTTACAAGATGTACTGCCCTAGCCCATACCATTCCAAAATGAGCCTGCTTGCTTTGTATGAGAACTGGCTCTGGGGGCAAGGAGAGAGTGGATGTTGTATACTGTGACTTCAGCAAGGCCTTTGACATGGTTTCCCGTGGCATCTGTACATCCAAACCATTTAGATAGAGACTGGGTAAGTAGCTGGTAAGATGGATGGAAAATTCATTGGTCCACTGGCTGAAAGGATTGTGATCAGCAGGACAAAGTTAGCTGCCAGCCCTTGGGGACTGATACTGAGTCCAGTACAGTTTAATGGCTTTACTGAGGATCTGGATGATGGGACAGAGTATAAACACAGCAGGTCACAGACTGTAGCAAGTTGGTGGGAGCAGCCAGTACACTGGCTGATGTTCAGAGCGGCCTGTCAGCTGGAAAAGTGGGCTGTTGGGAACCTCATGGAGTTCAACGAAGGCAATTGCAGCTTCCTGTGTGTGTGCTGGAATAACCTCATGCACCAGTATAGGCTGGGGGACAGCTGGATAGAGAGCAGCTTTGCAGAAAAGCACCTGATTGTCCTGGTGGATAGTGAGTCAACCAGGAGTACACGGCGCCTTCTTGCAGTGAAGGCCAACAGCATCCTGGGTGATAGTAGCATGAGTGTAGTAGGTAGGTCCAGGGAGGTGGTCCTTCTCCCTCCCTTTGGATGCTGGTGAGACCACATCTAGAGTACTGTGTCCAGTTTTCGGCTTCCCAGTAGAAAAGATGACCTTGATGTACTGCAGTGAGTCCAGTGGTGGGCTGCCAAGATGCTGAATGGGTTGGAGAACGTGACATATGAGAAGAGGCTAATAGAATGGAGTCTGTTCAGCATTAAAATGAGTGAGTTGAGATCTTGTTGCTGTCTAAAGCTATCTAGTGGGAGCGTACAGAGAGGATGAAGCCAGAGTCTGCTCAAAGATGTGTTTAGGTAGGACTGCACGCAACAGGCACAAGTTGAAACACAGGGAAATTTGATCAGATAATTAGGACAAACATCTTTGTTGTGACAGTGTTTAAATACCAGCTAAAACCAGACTGGCCATGGCCCTGAGCACTCTGCTCTAATGAACTGTTTTGTGCAGGTGATCTTCCCAGGTGCCTTCCAGCCTAGACTCAGTGATATTTTTGGTACTTTCTTCAGTGACTGACTGCAGCTAACTTGCCTGCCAGAGCAGACATCTGCACAGGCTGTTCTCAGTGAGATGTGTTGCTTTTAAGCTAAATGTCTCATAATACACTGTGTCAGTTCCCTTTTATCACTTCTGGGATCTGTTAGATTCCTAGTGACTATCCTGGGAATAAAATGCAAAGGCTAGTATCAATATTTTTTTCTTTGTAAGTGAAGTACACTTAGAAATCCTAGGAAGATTTTGTAATTTGAGGGGGGAAAAAAGTCTGAGATAGTGGATGGATGTCGTGTGTAGAATGGTATGCGTGTGTTTTTGGTTTTGTTGGATTAATGTTTTAAATTCCGTTACTGAGACGTGCTTCGGCACACTGTCTGACGTGGTATTTAGCATCGAAGCTGTATGTCATCTTACGTGAACTTGGCTGACTTGTGTGTTGGCAGATGATGATAATTATCATGCAGTATTCACGTAGTCGGTTTGCTGAATGAGTTATAAAATTCAGATGATGCTGAAGTAGTAGTGTGGCAAGACATTGCTAAATGACTTATATTAGCATTTTTCAGTTTACAAGTTTCACAACAGCTAACTGCTCTGGTAGAGTTGTGACATCGTTTCTGAATGTGAAATTTATTAAAACTGATGGCATATGCCCGGAACTGATGCCAAGAGAGCAGGTTCATCTGCTTCATACATAGTGTTGGAGAGAATACGGAATTAAAATGGGGAGAGTAATTTTTATGTCATGGATTACTTGCAAAAACAAATGGTTTTATGATTAGAAATACTTGCTTCATTGTTTGAAGCTATCTAACTCTTGTATTTGCAGGAAGTAGAATGGGATTGCTAGTTCAAAAATAAAAAAAAAAGGACGAACACAAAATCAGATTTTCTTCCAAAGTATCTTCTCTTCATCTGTGTGGAGAGCTTTTCACCAGTGTGGGCAGATAAAACACCTGAGTATATAACCAAATAATGAAATAAATAGGAAAGGCTATGTTTCATTTTTCAATCATGCCTTCCCGAAGCTTGAGCAGAACTGGTTTTGTCAGAATTGGTTTGGCTGGAGCCTTTAAAGGTATATACTCTGCCTTTTTATTTTTTATGTATGATGGATGCTGAAATAGTCAGTTTAACATTTTAGTAACATTGAAATAAATGGTAAAACTTCTATTTGTTTCTTTAGGGCAAGGCTTTGTTCTTGTATATTACCTGGCAAATTTAGTGGTGTTGAGATTTTTCTTTTTGTCAGACTTTTAGAGCAATATTCCTAGTATAAGTCCAGATACCAAAGATTCACTTGTACTGTTGCGTGTGTAAAGATGAACACAAAAGGTATATTCTCAGTATGTCTTCAGGAGAAAAAGGAGAGGACAAAAAATTATCTGCACTTTCAGATTTGCCTGAAAAAGTTTCAGGTGCCAGTGTAGAGAAATGAGAATCTCACAGGTCGGAGTCCTTGCTCAGGTTTTTTTTCTCTCCATGACATCAGTACACCATCATATAAATGCTGTTTCTCTCTTTCTCTTTGGCTCTACCATATAGGTCTAAGTTGTCTTCAATGTACTTATTTGTAGAGGAGTAATTAACTACATAAATTGTTATTTCAGATATTATATTTTTCTATCTGGGCGGTGTGTCGTGTCGGGTGTGCTTGCTGGCTCGGGGAAGCTGAATTTCTGCTAGATGTTTATATAACAGGGGTCACTGCAGTAAGTAGAGAGAGCCCGTGGGAACTAGTAGAGGCACTCTGCTGGACTTTGCTCCCACCAAATTAAAGAAAACACAGTGCATGTGCATTTGCCCTGCAACAGTTCTGAACTATGATGGACTGTTTTAACAAGGAAAAAATAAGTAGAGGTCAACTATTTACTTTTCTGTGTAAGAAAACTGCTTTTGAGTTCTTCCTTTGTATGCTGCACAGGGTTAGTAACTCCCTAGATTTCAAATCTTAGAGTACAACAGATTTTGATTTTTTTTTGTTGTTTTGTTTTGCTGCAGTGAACATAGTATAGCTACAGCCCTAACGTACAATGGGGTGTCTTGTTTTAGTAATTATGTTTTTTAAATATTCAGCTAAATCCAGACTAAAGTACAAAAGAAATTCAGATACCTAATGTGACAAAACTTCCAGCACTGATGTTGTAATTATTAATGACTGTGTTGATTGACCTTACAAATTTTTTGAGATGCCCCTGTTTAGCATTCAGCTTGGAAAACAGAAATTTTGTATTTTTTTTGAGAGCAATATCTCTCTTCCTTCTTGAGCTGCCTTTTTCTTCCCCAGTCTCTTCCTGTCTTTTCTCATAAAAATGGCAGGAGATTAAATATAATATTAAAATTGTTAATGTGAAATAATGGCGGTTTAACACTCCTATTGCTAAAAAGCCATCCTTAAATACAGGACACAGTGTTTCTAACAGTCAGTTTCCTAAATATTTTCTTTCCTTGTGTGGTGGGTTGACCCTGGCTGGACACCAGGTACCCACCAAAGCTGCTCCATCACTCCCCGCCTCAGCTGGATGGGGGAGAGAAAATGTAACGAAAGACTTGTGGAGATGTCAGTACTTTGATTTGATTGGCAATAAATTAGATTCATTTCTCCCCAAGTTGAGTCTGTTTTGCCCATGACAGTAATCGCCGAGTGATCTCCCTGTCCTTATCTCAATAAGGAGAATTATTACCAATCAAATCAGAG